AAGTATTGCGGAAAATTCCTATTTTCCTGTGTCCAAACGTCATTTTGAGCTCTTTAGAAAAATGATCTCATAGTTCACTAAGCTTTCATCGAAAGGAAATGTTGGACACGTATTCCGAAAGAGCATCGAATTCTGATTCTAACTAACTGGTTTTTGTTCTCAGAAGTCGTTTCTAAGTGACCTAAAAATGGATGAACATTTCGTACGAAGACTTTTTACACAAAGGTTATGTCCACCCCTTTATGGTAATCTACTCCAAAAAAAATCTTTAGCGTTCCAAGACTTTTTTCGTCAGAGTGTAACATGATGTTTGGATGAAAAAATGAACAATTAAATGACCTGAAATTCGAAGCATTTTCCATGCTCAAAAGCTTCTCCTTGCGATCCGTCCGTCAAAGCAAAAAACTCAAAAGATTTTTTTTGCTAAATGTGACTTTTTGTGCTTGTGCTACTTAGCAGTCGGTGGAGACCGCATGAGGGATGCCGTCACAATGTTTACCGCTTTAAGCGCTTTCTATATTTGATAGATTTATTCACAGAAACGAAAAAAGAAAAGTAAGAAACAATAGAGAGTGAACCAGACATCTTTTTCCTAAAATAGAAGAGAACGAAGCATGAGATATACATGAGATATACGATAGATATTGCTTCTAAGTTTGAAATGTTTTTTTGCTTTTGATCCAAATGTTCACTGCACTCAGTATGAAATTACTCTATATTCTGTGAACTTGACAGATTAAAGTAAAACTAACCAGAATGTACATCTCTCCGTTTTCTATGTTAGTTTAAAGTGCACAATATATACTATACGCTGAGCCATTTATTAAAAAAGAGTACAGTCTACTTTATGAGATACAGGGCTGTCAATAACAGAGCGGAATATGAGACATATACGCACGTTTTCTGCCAATTAACACGCGGAATCATTTCTTAAGAGTTCATGACCAGCATGACTTTCCGGCTTTCTCTTCGAGTCATGGTAGTCTTAATTCTGCAGCGTTTATGTTTTCAGAGTTATGTAAAAGTAATATAATAAAATATTCATGTCTACGTAATCCTCCACGCACTAGTTCAGCTAGATGAAACTTTGATGTTTTCTTCTTTCTATGCATACTACAGAGACACTGATATAAAGCAAGGAATGGAGAAAGAAAAACTTTTATCGTGTTATCCAAAAGAAAGATTCACTTCACCGTGAATTTAGTGTTTATTCTGGCAACTTCCTACAGTAAAAAGTTAACAAAATGTTTAAACACTGTCTTTCTTAAATCCCATTGATCTATACCACACTCTCTCAGGGGATTTAGCACTCAAGTAAGCAGGAAACGTCTGCTGATAAGATGTTACTTCAGCCGATTCGTTTAGATGTTTATTAAACCTTAACCAATATTTTAACAGATAATCACGCAGTGTTAGTTCTCTACTTAAAACTAATGTTGTTACATCATCCCATTCCCACAACGAATATACCATACGCAAACCACAACAAAAAACATGCTCAATGTGTTCTTTTTGATTTTTGGTAAAAAAGAACCATGTGCAAAAATGAAAAATAAAATGGGAACGAGAAGATGCTAGAAATAATTTTCTACGAATTGCTATTTGGTTTTTCGCAATATCTTTGAAAATAAATCTCAGCGCATTATATGTAGTTTTCACTTTCTTTAGTCGTTCGCTAATGTACTTCGACCATCCTAGCCTGGTTGTAATAGTTACTCCCAGAAATTTGTTTGCATTAACGTACACAATTTTTTGACCACGGTAGTAAATTTCCGGTTGCTCCGGTGATACCCCACTATGGGCAATCATTGCTTTTGTGTTTGGTACGTTTACAGGTGGCAGATTGTCATCAGAAAACTTTTCAAGACATTCCATGGTAATTTCAGCCTGAATTTCTAATCCAAAAAATTTTTTTGAAAAAATTATTTTGAATTAGATAATGCAGTCTTTACCTTACTTTGTTCGTTAAAGAGAAAACGTGTTGTTTACTCATATACGAAAAAGAATTAGAATTAAGTATTGTATGATTGAAGAGAATAAAAAACATGGCTATTTTCCTGTAAGAATTATTTACAGCCGAATGGATAAAGATGTATATAGATGATGTAAAGTATACAAATTACAAAATATTATATACAGAATATGCATACTAAATGTAATTTATTATTTATCTCTCTCTTTATCTCTAGAAAACATGGCTACAGCAGCCGATTCCAATACGAGACTCTACGGGGACCTGATTACGTGCGCAATCTGTCTAGACAATTTCGATGATCCCCGTCTACTCCCGTGTTCACACACCTATTGCCACAGGTGCCTAATGCAACTAGCTAAGAACAATGGGGGTTCTTTTGAATGTCCGATGAGAGACGGCACAACTATTAATGAAAGGGCAATTACTGCGCTACCTGTAAATAGTAGAGCCGAGGACATGGTGGAGTACATTGAGAAAATGAGTCTAACCTCTCCAGAACAACAGCAAGTTCAATGTGATAATTGCAGTGATCAACTGGCCGTACATTGGTGTGAAAAATGTGGTACTAACTACTGCGACTCGTGCACACAGTTCATTCATTCTGCCAAGGCCTTAAAGGCTCACATTGTTATCCCACTGGCTCAGAAACCAAGGCTCTTCTTCTGTACTGCTCATCCTGATGCAAAATACAGGTTTTGGTGTGAACAATGCAAACTACCTGTCTGCCGTGACTGCCTCCTGATGCAACACAAAAATCATCCTTATGCCTCCATAGAAGACGCTGCTGCCGGAGTCAGAGCACAACTTCAGTCCTCACTGCAATGGCTTGAAAAGAAAGAAGAAAAACCTCGCCAGTTTCTAACAAAAATCAACGGTCTCATCGAAGAACAGAAAGAATTGTATCGGACTGAAGAAACTGACATTGAAAAACTGTTTGCTGAGCTACGTAAAGCACTGGAAGATCAACAGCGATCGCTAACTGATCAGTTGAAAACAACGGTAACAGAAATTTTATCCCAATTGGAGAAACATCAGAAACGTGTTAACGAAGATCTGCGAATGTTGGAAGTTCAAAAGCATTACACAGCTCAGTTACGTGACACTAAAGATGATTTGGAACTACTACAGAAGACGAACCCGGAAAAAGAGACAAAGACTATAAATGAGATAAACAGTGGTTTAACAGCAAAACATATCACACAAATCACACAAGAAGAACTTCCTACTGTACAAAAGAGACTGGTGCTCGATCCAGAGAAATTGGAAAAGTTTAGATGTGAACTGTTGTCGGTTGCACACGTAAAAGCGTACGTATGTTGGAATTTATCTTCACCAACGGGTAAAGAAGAAAAGTGGAACATGGCTTGTCTACGTGGCTATCAGTTTCAGTTGAGATCAATAGTTAACTTAAGATCTGTCCAAGTAAAAGCCAATGTCGAGGGTCCACTTTTTGTCTATGTAGTAGACGAACATGGCAAAATAATTCGGAAATCGATCGGACAAGGCACCGGTTCAATGTCCTGGATAAAAGTTCCGACTGTCGCCGAACTGAAAACTGCGTATGGTGTTTTCTTTGGCTCTGACAACGGAATCTTTGCTGCTAGATACGACGGCAGTTCAAATGTTCGTACGGTTAATCTCGATTGTTCAGTGGAAAGTAAATTTGTCGATAGAAATGGTGAGCAACGTACTGACACCGTCCTGTCTGGTGCTACTACGGTACCTTGGTCATTAGAAATGCAAATCGAAATTGAAACGTAGGATACTAGAGATGGCTGTAACATAAAAATAGATACCGAATTTATTCATCACTCTCCTCGGCTTTCGCATTTTTCCACATTTCAAGATTTTAATGGAACTTCTGCGCGACGGCAAAGTATAGCTCTGTCTCTAAAAGTCTTAACACTGCTTTTCAGTTTACCGAGATTTTTAGTGTGAATTAAAAAAATATAACAATGGCACTCCTCTTTCCGATGTCGCCATTGTCTTTGCGACAGTTGATCTAAGCTTTATTTGTAAAAAGAAGAAAAAGAAATGAATTTCCATTGAATAAATATATAGAACAGCAAAACGAAAGAGGAATAGACCCATGACATCATTTTGACTGTTCAACAAGCGAAAATTGCTAGTATAATAATAAGTAAGACAGACACACCTAACGCATGTGGTCAGAGAATAACATAAAAGAACATTCACAAACAGAAAACACACACACACACACAGAGAAAAAGGAGAAATACATAAATAACCACGATGTAAAATAAAAGAACAAGAAGAAAAAGGAGCCAGATAAAACGAAAGAAAGGGGATAGAAATTTTAGTTTAAAAACGGTCGGTGTTTTTGATGTAGTTAGTAACAAATAAATGAAGTTGTGAAACTTGTCAACAACAAGGTATAAAGTTGCTCTAAAAAAAGTAAGTTTGCAAGTGTAAAGGAGAGAGAAGGAGCCAGATATGACCAGTCAGAGAAAAGTATATCACGTTGAGGCTGGTAACGTGAGCACTCCAACAGAAAATGCTTGACACTTTCTACTTTCCCACAAGCACAGAGCCCACTAGAACTCAATTTTTTCTGAAACAGATCGAAATTCAATGGAGAAAAATTAACTCTCATTTGATTTAGTAAACAATCATATTTACGCTCACTGAGCTTGAATCTTGGCCATTTGAAATGAGAGAAAAAATTATGAATTTTAGTTCGAAATTTTATTAAAGATGTCATATCATGTAGATCGATTGGTAACGAATTCCATTGTCTCACAGCCCACGGAAAAAAGGTGTTTTTGAAATTTCCCGTATGTGTACGAAACATATGAACTTGCTTTCTCTCTCGGGAATGTAAACACATATTTATAAGAGGTTGCTGAGGGATCCGTTCAAAGAGGAATGCAGGTATGAGACCTTTTTTAATTTTAAAAAAGAGCAAAATTTTGTTAATTGTATATGTGTGTTCAATCGGAATTTAACCTAAAACTTGAAGTAGTTTTTCCCTAGAGGAAAGACACATAACGCCACTAACGATCAGGGCAGCTTTGTATTGTAAATCAAAAATTGGTTTCAAATAGGATGGTACAGTATCTATAGAATTTGCTTTGGAATGAATCTGCTTTAAAGTAGAATAAACTGTATCA